TTTTAAAAAAATAAAAATATATGTAAATAAAGATAAATAAAATTCATACGTAAAAAATATCAATTAATCAATTATTTTTTCCAATATCTTTTTTTAAACATACCACATCCTTACCATCCGAAATCAAACCCAAACTATTTGTCCAAAATCCATAAACCATTTGAACAAACATATAACTTAAATTTAGTAATAGAAAATAAAATATTTGTCGTGAATCACTATTATCTAATAATGCTCTAATATAATTATTAAACAGCGTTATAAAAAGTCCTCCTGATTCTCCTCTTAAATGATGAATGTTTGAATTATTGTTCATGATATTATTATTGTCGTTGTTATTATAAATTGGAAGTTCAAAAGATTTAAAATTTACTCTAGTTTGCGATGGAAAAAGTGTTTTTGTGGTGGAATAATTTTCAACATGCATTGCTATTCTATTCCATAAAGATATCTGATTTAAAAATTTTTAAAAAATACAGAATTTTTTGACATATAAATAAATATATATGCAAGATCACGTGGTTGAAATTGCATTAATCTCTTGCAAGGTTAGATTGATTTTTGAAATAAATGGCTACGTTTGATATTGATATATATATAAAACCAAGAAATAAAACTCAAAATTTATTTTGTTTATTTTCCATTAATTAATTAAATAAAATTTTTTTATTTATTTTTATCCAATACACCAAACGCTTCTTCAATTCCACATTTCTCTCGTGGTTTACCTTTTGATGAGAAAAAAGGAATTGTTCCTAATGACAAAGGAAAAATAATAGAGTTGGAAAGCAATAATGAGGTAGTTTAATATTAATAAATGGTTTCTTTTATAAAGAAGAAATAATGTTAAAACTACAAATTATAGTTACCAGGTCTCTATGTATCAGGATGGCTAAAACGAGGTCCACAAGGAGTTATAGCTACAACAATGTATGATGCATTTGAAACAGCTGAAACAATAATATCTGATATACAACAGAATAAACCAATGTTATCAGGATCATTATCTCATCTAGATGATAATTCTTCATCATCACCTAAACCTGGCATAAATGCCATATTGCCCATTCTTAAAGAACGCGGCGTACGTGTTGTTTCCTATAATGATTGGAAAAAAATTGAAGAGAAGGAAATCGAAGAGGGAAGAAAAAAAGAT